TTAGAGTTTTAACTCACTGCGTGGCTGCGATGCTAATGCCATGTTGTTAGCACTCAGACTCAGGTAGCTTCCCTTTACAGTGGCGTCACTAACCTCTCGTTCTGGGCACAAACAGACAGCTGTTTCTTCAGGGCCAGACACCTTTATCTTCTGTCTTCCGACACTCAGTGTCCATTTTTGGACTTTTTGACATTTTGCTGAGGGTGTCACTGTCAGTCACAGAACACGCTCTGGTGGAGCCACTACATATGCACTCGACTCGCTGCTGAGCTCAGCGTGGCATCCAAGTGCTGCACAGATGTTTTTATTTTTTTTATTATTATTATTATTACCATTTTACATAAATAGAGCCGCGGGCCGTGTCAGATCTCTTGGCGGGCCGTATGAATGACACCCCTGCCCTACGCTCTCATTCCACGGAGCCATCTAGTTTTATTTGCGATCTGATACGTATGCTTACGTTAGCGTTCGCTAGTTCCGCGTCCGAATGTAGTCCGAGCATACAGTAGATAGTTCGAGGCAGTCCCGCAGGTCTCTCCCATAGACAAGTCTCTCCAGAGGATACGATGTAAGCTAGCTCTGTTCACCCGGTCTTGATTTCTTCTTTGATCATTTTTTGGCTTTAGTTCCCTCTTCTCTTCCTCACTGTTGTGTTGTTTGGGCTGTTTTTGTGTGTACGCAATTACAGCCGGAGGAGTTGGAGCCAATTCTGCTAACATGCTACTGTGTTTAGCAGCGCTGTAGAGGCTAGAGGACGCAGCCTCGTTGAGCACTTTGAATGGCCTAAACTCATGCTTATGCTGAATCTATGAGCCCCAGTTTTCAATTAAATTACAGTTTTTAATACAACTTGTATGTAGTTATACGGATTTGTATTAACTCAATAGAAAAAAAATCGGGTATAGCTTCTTTATGGTGCTCCAGCCGATGGCGCATACTGGTTGCCTCGCTTCTGTCAGTGTGCCCCAGGGCAGCTGTGGCTACAGTAGTAGTTTATCACCACCGTGTATGGAGTGAAAGAATAATGACATGTGAAGCTTCTTTGAGTGTCCAGAAAAGCGCTATATAAAACCGATGCATTATTATTATTATTATTATTATGTATGTATGTAGACAAAGTAGACAGAACTAAAATATATCATTGCATTGCTAAATTTGTGCAGGCTTTCATTCGGGAGTGCCTCTAAATTGGAAATACGTGGTGTTAAAACACATTTCAAGTATTTTGTCCTGGTGTGGATTTTATTTTTGTATTTTTGCTTTATTTTGAAATTGGTTATCTGTGCCAATCTAGCCAAAAGTGGTTCTGCAACATCTCCCACTCTGCCTGACTCAGGTTGCCAGATATGCAGACAAATTCAGCGGGTGTTGTAAAATCTGTAACACCATTTTCACAAGGGTCCCGATAGAAATCCTCGTTTTATTCCTTGTTGTGTTTTTAATGATTTGAGAATTATAATGAGCCCTTTTTTGGTTCTGCGGCCACAAGTTACTTTAGTGAGATTAACTCGTGAGTTCTGGCAACCTGGATCACAGACTTTCTGATTGATAAAACGGTGGAGGGTGGGACATCGGAATGAAAACAATTACAAGATTTAGGGGCTGTAAAATTAATTTTGAAATTCTAATATCTCGGCCGAACTACTGTTATGAATTAAAGAAGTACTGGAAAAGAGCATGGTTTATTAATGCCTTTTGACAAATTAGGGCCATTTAATGATGACTTGACATGAAAATATTACATATTGTTATTTTATTATTAAAAAAAAGTTTAAAATTGTATCAACACTATACTTTATGCAAACCAACGAACAACATTTATACACATTGTGTCCTTGACCCAGAGCAGGAAGAACCAGCCCTGCGTGCGTGTAATTCCTATGTTAGACACGCTTCAGATGTTACGCCATAGATTCGTTAGACACATTGTTAACATAGTGTGTTTGTATGTGTGCCGCTGGTACTTTGTGCTTGGAGACAACGTGAACCATGGAACTCACTGCTGATGCGGCACTGTGTTCCTGCTTGTTCAAAATGCAACAGTGAATGGCTTGGCACCGAATCTACCTTTGATCTGTTGCTTGTCTGAGTGTGATGCAGCCACGAGACGCCCGCTACACACACTTTAATACAGGTTGAGTGGGATTGGAGAGAGATATAGTGTCAATGAATGAAATGTAAAAAGTTCATTTCGCCGTCTTATGTTTAATAAGACAAAACATGTGAAGAAGCTAGTACTGCTGAATTACCTGATGTGTTTCAGTGTATGACCTCTGCCTCTGACGTGTCTCTGACCAGCTGATGTTTCCAGATGCGGCCAGTCAGACGGATCTGCCTAACCACGCCCCCCACCGCGTTGTGGTCTCTAGACAAGTGAATCCCAAGTGTGAGCCAAGGTGAAGGCCCCCTCGTCTCTGTTGATGGTCCTTGTGCCCCGCTTTTTGATTTCAATTGACTCTCGAATCCATCTTTTGTATTTGTGCTCTTCCGTTACTACTATTTTTTCTCTTATTAAAAGAACCCTCTAAGCCGTGTTCATGAATTGTTGAAAGTGTTCAGTTGAATTTCATATTTTTGATATTCCACAAGTTTATATCACTTAAGATGGGGAGGTATAGGCAAGATTATTGTTGCTATGTTATACTTTCTTACATTATAAGTTAAATATAATCAATCAAAGAGTGTAATTAAAGGGTATGGCAGTTACTATTCAAATTGTGAGGAGATAATTTTCAAACGCAACCACCAGTTACACTGCTCACCCTTGCTTGTTCCCGAATGCATGAAATAAATATCTTGGATTGACAGGTGAGCTCTCTCTCCAGTGGTCTAACTATTCTCCTCCATCAGCTTCTGCTGCTGATGTTTATGCAGGGAAGGGAATATTTGAAATGTATTATTAAGAAAAATACAAGGATGTGAAGTCAAAAGTCCTTCTTTTATAGACTAAATACATTTGAAATTACTGATATCTTTAATATGATAAAAACGGCCAACCTCTTTAAAACCATGTACAAATATATATGTGTGTGTCTGTTGATTTGCACTGCAAAAAAAACAATTTACCTAATAGTCTGTGAGATGAGGTTTGAAGCAAGTCATTTCACTTATAAAGCCCTGGAGTAAGGGTTTAACCAGAAAAAGACAGGATATTGTGCTTTATGCTATATGCTAATTGTAGCTTGTTTAATTGTGATTTTAATTTGATTTTTGCGTAGAAATAATTTTTTAGATTTTTGCAAAAAAAGACTGGTCACTCTCATCCAATAGCATTTAAGCTTTATCACTGTAGTGTCCAGTCCTGTTCACAGCATGTATATAAACGTGAGGCTTCTGTAACTTCCAAATAGTACTGTGACTGGGACCTCGACAGGCAGGCCAAGCCTCCAATTGAAGGTTTTCCATCCACAAGATACTTAGTCGTCACATATTTGGTAGTGGAAGATTCCAACTCAACTTTCAACCGAAGGAATGCTTCTTTGCTTTTATAAAAACAGAAAAGTAATTCCGTGATACAATCCTAGTTATGAGTGAGGTCATTCAATCTGTGATAGCGAACTTACTGAACGTAAAACACTCTCATCATCATTCAATCTCAATCCTTTTCTTCTGCTTTAACCAGTGCTGGGTCCTGAGGGCAGCAGCCTGAGCAGAGGCCCAAACTTCCCTTTCAACAGACTTCCCCTGGGGAAGTCTTTCAGCTGGCTTGTTCCCAGGCCAGCTCCCTCTTCACTGCATCAGTCCAATACTGTGACCTCCTCACTGCAGATTCTGTCAATCTCATGCTCCATCCTTCCCTCAGTTATGAACAAGACCCCAGGATACTTCAACTCAAGTCCAACAATCCAATACAATAATTGAGCAAACAAAAGTGCTTACATAACATCATTGCCTAACATTACTGTTTGTATAGATCGCTAAGAAAACCCAACGTTCCCACTTACGTCATATTTTTATTGACCTACTCAAAACTCAAGGAAGTAGGAGACAAAAAATGAATTGCATGTTTAAAACATTGTTAAAAATAGGTTTAGAAAAGTGGCTAAGAAAGCAAAGGGAGGAAGGGATCGTCAGACGCTGACATTTGGTGACAGTGTGACCACACACACGGGCACAACAAACCTGTTGAACAAACTCTGAATGAGGTGACTGTGCAGTTTCGATCAGTTTGATTCCAGTTTGTTGGAAGAATGCACACACAGATTGTATTAAAGGTTTATGTATGCATGGCTCAAGGTGTGAAAAGTTCCCAGCAGCACTCCACACATGCTCTTCCCTGCTGCTCATTGGCTCGTGAGGAAACGCCCTCCAAGGGCGGCCGCTCTGAGACTGGTCCACATGTCTGCACACTTACAGTGTTCTCAGCTGTGATTAGCTGACAGAGCTGGGCGTAGGCTATAACTTTTCCGCTCTGTGTCTGATTGGTGGGCCGTGCGTAATGACGCACAGCTCTGCCAGCTGATCGCAGTGTGAAGCCGGTTTGAAGCAGGAGTGGAGCAGGAGTGGAGCAGCAAAGAGAACAGGGAGCTTTCCCCGACGGACAGGGAGCAGCGTGGGGTGGTCCTGCACGGACTCTCGCTCTGGATCACTTCTTGTCTTTTATATGGGTTAAACGCGAACAGAGGACATCAGTGTGCGACAGATGTCACGGAGAACTTGGAGCTCGCATCTCGTCGAATCCTCTGCAAGTGTCAGAAAATGATTGAGAGTTTAGGTGTGGCTTTGGTCTTAGAAGGTCTTCTAGTCTACTGAACTAACACAGGCGGGTGATCTATGTGATTTCTGCCTTTCAGAGTATGCAATGTCATTTCTGTAGGGCAGACATTACATAACAAATGTATATTTCCATTTTGGTCTCCGCGAGGTTCCTTTGACCCCTAATCACTCATACCACTACATTTGACAGTTAAAAGTACGTGGAGTTTGCTCGGTGTCTTATCACTTATTGAGTTGGTACCCAAATGGACGTGTAACTTTACAGTAGACCGCTGCTATGCTGAATGCTACAGGCGAACAGGGCGTGGGGAACAGTCCGATCAGAGCCCTCGAGTCTTTTATCTGCGCACATTAGAAGCCCCACACACTTCTCAAAGCTCTCCATGGACGTACTGGATTCGCAGCACCCAAAGTAAGTGCGACGCAAGCCTTTTACAAACTTTAGCGTTAATGACGTCAAACATTTGTGTGATGATATTTCTCCTATATTTCAGATATCCTTGACAGCACATGCATATTTACACCATAATAACGCGAAAGCTTTGTTTTAGAGTAAAAATGGATGCACAATTTCTGCTGTAGACCAGGCGGGCGTGTCTTCTCCCAGCCCTAACGTATGGATCTTTCTATAGTTGTACATTGGAGCCACGAGGGCACGCTCAGCTACAGTTGGTTGAGAAGTGCTGAGAAATCCTCTGGCCTAATAACTCCGTCATATTAATTGGGTGCACGCGCGCGCTGACCCCTGCATATTCTAATTAAGATAAGCATTAAGTCAAAAGGGAAGCACAGTGAATTCCTGCAGGCCCCACCCTTTGCAGCGCAACATGGATGTGAAGAATTGCCCCCCCTCCCCCCTTCGCGTCATTTACCCCCCCCCCCCCCCCCGCAATATATGATCTTCTGTCCTTCTTCATCTCCAGGTGCTCTCAGCAGATGCATGGTCACGGAATGTCCTGTATAACGACCATTTTAGCCTCGCACACAAGGATCTACTGCGAACCAGAGGTAAGACGCGAGGCTGTGGGACATCTGAGTCAACCTGTGGAATGCAGTTAAATTACACAAAGTCATAGTTACTACGTGGGTACAGTGTTTTTTTTGCTCATTTTGTATAATAAGTGTGTATATGAAATGATTGCATATACTGTGACTAGCGCTAACCGTGTCTAACCTGTTTTGAATTAACCCTATTTGTATGACACTTATGTAATGTTACACCACATTTTAGGCCTCTGCCAGTACCCGAGATGATTTGTGTTGGAAGACTTAAAGTTAGTCAAGGCATTTTTATGACCACTATGAAGTCCTATACATAGTAACTTTTTTATTATGAATGTCCTCACTTTTATTTTATGTATTACACACACACACACACGCACGCCCGCACACACAACAAATATCTATTAGATCCAAATAAGTCTAGTTCCTCATCTGAAGCATCCACATAGACATTTTTGGACCAAATTATTCACAAGCCGAATCCCTTCATTGGACTTAATCAATGACCATTCTTTCTCGCACGACTCGCTGTACTGACTTCGTCTCTGCTAATGAATTGTGAATTATACATGGTCCTGCAGGACACTGGACATGCCCAGATTATTAGTAGGCCATTAACTCAATAATTCAGTTTTTATTTCTAACTACCAGAGCTGAATTATTGAGTTAAATATGTCCAAACGTGAGGATGTGTCTAGAATGATGGAATCTGAAATCTTTTTTGTTGTTGTACATGTTCACTGCGGCCATCATTGTGCCACTCCCACATATGCAGCATTAAAAAGATTACTAAATAAGACCGTTCCAACATACTTATCAAGCTATCATTTGCTTTCACTGCACATTTCCTTATCTCTGACCCCTCATCACAATCACATTGATCTGTTCTGATTTGAATTATGGGCTTGCTTCCTTCTTGTGACTGAGCAGGGCTTTATATTGACTGTTATTGATGGTCAATTGGAGAAGGGAGGATCTGCGGTGGAACTGCGGTAGCTGCAGTGAGTTTGCACATTTGCTGGCCACACCCCAATGGCCCCTTTTGACGCTCCACGCTGCTAACCTTGACCTCCTTATCACGCGTTCTCGCCGTGACCTCAGCAATGTTTGTTCGGTATTGTGGAGTTCTTAATGTGGAAGCTGCGTGTGCGTAAATGCAATGGCCGTATTACGCACTTTGAAGGGTGTGTGTTTGAGAATGGTTAAGTAGACTCAGTAGGTGTGGTTGGATACTGTAGGTACATATCACGCAGTTGTCGCCCATAGTGACTTCTTCCAATAGTATAGTCTTTATTCAATATTCCTGTAACTTATATACACTTGCTAGAGAACAGAGGTTCACCAGTCATATGTACGACACATGTTGCACTGTATACTTTCCGTGCCTGCCCACTTATAGAGGCAGACCGACAGGAAAAAGTTATCTTGAGGCATTGCACATGTAGGAGCTGAAATACCAAGGTGTAAAGTTATGGAACCACTTTTTTGTTTGCTGATTGAGGTCTGGCTCCGTTGCATAGTAAGTCTATTATTGGCCGCAAAGTTTTTAAACAGATTGGCCTCTAACCATTTTCTCATGTATTTGATTGTTTTCATACCACAGCCATCCAAGGTACAAACAATAGCATTTTGTTTTTTCCAGGACACTGTCAGTAACCAGTGATTCACGCTTGCAAAGTACCACATGATTTTGGTTTGGATATTTCATATTCCATCGTTCCTCTGGAGCGGGAGGTGCAGCAGTGGGCCTCTTTGCAGACCAGCTGGAATGTAGACCATATGTAGCAGGCATCTCCGGAATGTGAGTCGGCCCCGTTGAACTGACCAACCTAAAGACACAGAGCGGAGACAGGATGAGCCGAGCGGAAGAGGAAGGGAGAGAGACTTTATATTACAAAAATATTACAAAAAAAGTGAATGAGGGATCTGCATTACATTTGGGGATGTATAGAAATATAGCGGCCATAAAACATACTGCTCTGGTTTTAAGTAACACTGACACAACTATTTTTCCCGAGAGGATGGAATGAGTTGGGACCACATTGTTGAAACAGACATCTGCAACAAAATGTATTTCTTCACCCAAATAAATTACTTTGTTACTTTTATTCAGGACACTATTTTACCAACTAGTTTTGCAAGAAAAAAAAAAGTGATGACAGACTATGTTTTTGCCTCCAGCTCGTCATGTGGGAGCCTGTTATTACCCAGGGGAGAATTTCAGTTGCTGTGCTGCAATCTCATGTACAGGATGTTTAGTTGAGTTTGTAACAGAATGTGTGTATAGCTTAGCACGCACACTTAGCACACTTAGCACAGCTGGAGTCAGAATGGCAGAAATCGCATGAGCACGCCAGCATTTACAAAGTGTTTGTGTCCTACATAAACACTCGTTGTAAAGTGTCTGTTAAACTACAGCGATTGGGTTCAAACTATGATTAAGAAGCTAAACTGACATTCTGGGATCTCTCGCTTGTGTGAGTTATAACCATGAGTGGAATGGCTCTGGTTTACATCTCAACTTTAAATCCCAGATGGCAAAAACATATAAGTTGCTTTGTCTTCCCCACCTTCTTAAATGTCACAGCTCTGGATGTAACGGATATTAGGTTAATCAACGGTGGCTGAGTAGGTCCTGGGTTCAATTCCCCCTCCAGATAGGGCCTTTTATTGGTGCAGTTTGCATGTTCTCCCCGTGTCTGAGTAGGCCTCCCCCAGGTGATCATGGTCATTTCAGAAGAGAAAAACTAAAATTTCATCTATTGATCGCAGGTATTATTTTCCATCCTATTTGCAGATTGAACCAGTATGTTTTATTCCAAGCGCAGAAGCACTTTTTTTAAACTTTTAATAAGTTGTTCCATATGCAATGATAATTTTAGATCTTTATCCTCAAATCAACATAACTATACAATCTCCAAGAACTTCTAAACTTGAAAGGGAAATTGTCACGCCCATTATAACTTTCTTTGGTCAATAGTTGTGAATATTTTCTTAATGCTAAATTGTCACATTCATAGTGCGAGCTTTTTGGCAGCTTATAAGTAAAAAAAAGTCTATGCCAAATAAAAAAATCTTGAATTCAGTGTTAACTTCAATGTGGGATATTTTAGTCCAGAATCTTTAAGTTTTGGCTCTCCTCGCAGCTGAGATGTCTTGCAGTGGAGTTGGGGTGTCTCTGTTTGTGGTGCAGGGATGATACACAGGAGGAGAATGTTCGTATTCCTACCACGCATGGGCAGCTGCCAGTTCTTATTCATTTAGCCTACGGGCATTTCCCGTCTTTCGCCATGCTAGGCTAAACTGCTGCTCCAAGAGGGGGAGGTGACAGAGGAAACGTATAGATGCTCAGTGGACATTAAAGGGACATTAAAGGGACATTTATCTGGCTGCGCGCTCACAGTGACATGGAGACAGACGCCTCTTTCACACGCACAGTCACACATGACAGACGGATCAGCCAAGTCCAGTTTAATTTACTCCGCTGCGAATTTGAGAAAATATTCTTAAACTTTGACAGAATGGGGGTTTTGTTTTTGTTCATTATAGTGGTGTAAAAACTCTGCCAATTAATATCAAGAGGAAAACTGTCAATGTCAACTGTATTTGTATGGTGCATTTAAGAATTTTAGCTGTACAAAGTGCTTCACATGCACAACAGAAAAACTACACCAATACTGATTTAGTTAAGGCTGTGCCAAAAGATAATAATAAAATTGAGGGATTCCAATTATGGGACTGAAGAGGAATTTTTGTTCTTTAACTCCCTGTTTTGGAGAAACCAGGCCCAGACAGTGCTCTCTTCATGCAATCTATTACACTTTGACTTATGTGTTCCCCCCCCCTCCCTGTGCACAATGTCAATATCAATGAAGATTTATCACCCACCCCCAATATTAATTCATTTACATATGGCAGTTATTTAGTACCAATATTCTTTCCAATTTGCCCCAGTCTCATTGAGAAATATGTGTCAGTCAAGAACAAACACATATAATTTAGACCCTTTATTTTAAAAAGGAATTGTATTTTCACATGTTACATCATTTAGCCTACTGAATATTTGTATATGTTTCTGCTGGGTGCACTTCCTACCTTATTGTGTCTACATATATATGCGTATACCCCTGTCTCGACGTGACATCACAGCCTCCTAACACCTACTTCGGACACAAGCACTTGCCTCTGCATATTGTTCCCATGCATTCCTGTCTCCTGATGCTAAGTATGAGAATCCTTTTGATGACGCTACTCACTTGGAAACATCCTCTTCCTTGTTCCCCTGCTGCGGACGTCCTGCCTCTCTTCCTGCTTTAATTAGCTTAAGCCTTTTTTTGTGACTAGATTGATACAGTATTATTTAGATACGACTGTCTTCTACAAGATTACTTGTAGAAGACATGATGATGATCTGCTTTCATAGCAATTTTAAAGGCTTGTATATACATGTGCTAATATAGACTCATGTTTAAGAAAAAAAGTTGTGATTTACAAGAGTGCAACAAGAAACTATACTATGATATCAAAGCTGGGGCACCTAACTTTTAAATTGCTTAAATAATGCATTCTGTGTGTCTATAGAAAGAATAACATTTTGAATAGTTGTAAGAAAGAGCCCTGTGTGTCACTATTTCACACTTTGGGCAGAGCTAAATGAGTGTGGTCCCCTCTTCTTCACTTTTATGTCTGAAAAAGCTGATTTAAAAATGTGACAGAGGCCAAAAATACGCGCACATGATCTGAAAGCTGGTAACGGAACCAAATACCTGGATTTTATTATAGTTCCATTTGTTGTGGTAGATTCCCCAGCTTTAAGTTTTATGGATGCTGACTCAGGAAGTAGACTTTGGAAATGTTGTTTTTTTTTCTATCTTCACGTTAACTTGATTTGTTTATCTTCAGTGCAATCATGTATATTGTAGAATGCACACAAACGGTCAGCGTGGGATTGTTGTCATTGCAAGACACTCGGACTGATGAACTGGGCCTGACAGAGTGCTAGCCTTAGCAGATTTATGTTTCTCATGTGCGTCAGTGAGCTCGTAGTCCTATTGTGTGCGTCTTTTTGAAATGCATCCCTTTTCGTTTTTCACTAATATATTCAGGGATGAAGAAGAATGCCTCACTGGTGCATTGTCGACTATATGGGAGAGGAGGATTATAATTGTAGCACATACCGTGAACTTAATCTTTGCTGGACTCAACCCCATGCTATTCCCCATAGGCCTGTGTAACTGCATTATAATGTCATTACTTTTACAGCGGAGAGTCCAATGTAATTCTGCAATGTTTATTTCCACTGTATTTTACATTGTTCCTCCCTTAAATCGGGGCCTTAAAGTGGAACTGTACCAAATTGATTTTCGGACCAGAATTTATATCACTTAAATGAGACGCTGTTGAAATGGGTAGTTTGCCTTAATCCCTTCTCCATCCTCTGTGAATTTTCAGTCATACTTTAGATTACTTTGACTCCGAATACCAGAACTACTATTCCTATTACTCAATGCAATATTTGGGACTTGAGCTCATACCATATGTGCCATCAGCTGTTGGTTAGTAGAGTAAAGGCTGCAGGGTGACTATGCATTTTTAGGCTGTAGCCAATCAAAACCCTCCATCTCCGTTCTCTGCAGCTTTCAGATTTGCGTGGTCACTGTCGTCACTTTGGTCAGTTGTGTGTCAATTTTTTCTGTGCGTTTTAAATTGTGATTTTTTCCTTGCATGGCATGTTCACTTCAGATATAATTCGATATCCTTTTATACTTCTGAATAACATCCTTCCTCAGTTTAACGTAAAATGTAATATTTAGATGATTAGTATGTTATAGTTGGTCTTTAGGACACATTTGCTGATTTATTGGTCACTGGTCTGCTCTTACAGCTTGTTATATTTATCAATAAACCATTATCTATAGTTTATTTAAATGTTTATGGTTGTGGTGATGCTGGTAGTTCAAATGAATGCAGGGAGTGTGCTTGCAAAATAACAGCATATTTCAATGACCCAATATAATTAAAGTTGTATGTCTAGAATATTCCAATGCATGTATGGTGCTCTTTTGCCTGAATCATGTCATCTGGATTTTCCTCTTAAGACTGATTTAAGTAACACACATACACATACACATACACATACACATCTTGATTGTGTTGTGCCAAATAGTTATTATTCAAAGAAAGGCCAGTAGCTGTTGTTTGGCATCAGCTGAGCCGTACTTCAGGTTTATTTCTGTATCTAGTTGCAAATGCTTGTTATTGGTGAGTTTCCGTTGGCACTTGTAGCCTGTTGCTTGTTGCATAGTCTGTAATTGTCCTGGGAATCGACAGCTCTGTGTAATAAATCACTCTTGGTACACAGTGTTCTCTCCGGGATAGGCTCAGTGTGGTGCATGCAGCCTGTGCCGAACGTGACGTCAGCGCCAGAAACAACCAAGACACAATCAAGGTTAAAATGACATTTCTTACTGTCTGCCAGTAATTATGTTACTTACACTGCTCTCTATGTATTTATTATATATAAAAAAAAACGGATATGAAATTTCTGACGTCAAAATGGTGCCCGCTTTAGAATAGTATGTGTTTGCTATAGTGGTGTGACGTGTTGCACATGTGCGGTAGTTTTGGACCTTGACCAATTGATTGGATGTCTTTATCCATTTT